GACTTTTGTCACACATTGGGCACAATCACGTTAACACTCATCAGACGATATAAAACGTTTCTCACGCATATTGAGTTGGACAATTATCTTTGGCTCTCATTTGTTGATTTTATGGCCACACAATGCCTATCTAGGAACCAATGTTGGCAAATAATCGCCACCATGGAAAATCCCGTGGTCCTATCAAATATTATTCAACTGTTTCTTTCATCATGGGCAATGACAATGAAAATAAGAATTTTTCCCCTCATCTGTGCCTGCTGCGTTCTACTGAATTTCTTCGACTCCCATTTGTTCAGATCTTGCGGGTTTACTCGTGCCTGATGGTGGATATCGTAGTTGAAATTTTCCTGTTCCTCGGTTTACTAAACTGATCAATCTGTTTTTGATGATTTCAACATAGATCAAAGTGAACTCCGGAGAGAGCAGACAAACTGATATTTATTGACTGACGAAATAACTGTGAACGAACTGCTAGGCTTAACAAAAAAGCAAACAAATTAACCGATTTGAGTACAGACAATTTAAATAACTTCTCAGTACGTCTTGTATATGTTGGTAGGAATGAGTTTTGCTAGAAGTGTTCCTGAAGTTAATCAAAAGGAATACGGGAAACAGGTGTAAGTAGATTAAGGAAAAACGAAATATGATAAGCACATATCTCTCACAACATACGGTTATTTAAATCACGCGTTTGAACTCGATTTAATTGGGGCAACCGCTACTTCTTCAATGGTTCTGATGTGCCTTTGAAATATAAATGCTGACTATATACTGAGTCAACTGTACTGCTCAAAGTGACGCAACCCCGCAGGTCAATTCCTAGTTCCGAAGGTGACAGCAATCTCAGTGGATGCCCTTAACACTTCTTTGATGCGTGCCGGTTTCAACTGGAAGTGCAGCTCTTCTTCGAAATTACTGCCTTTATGGAGTGCGGTAAATGAGCAATAATGATTTAGGAGCCACACGAAAAAAATCAAAAAACCAGGATTGCCAGAATTCGACAAGTTGTGAGAATTGGCAGTTAGAAGTCCGAAATAGTTTTCTAGTTGGTTATGGGAGACATCGCAATAAAAAACACAATATGATCACCCATTTCTATAGAAATTTCCAGGAAAAAACGAGTGAATCAAATGAATGACAAGAGGAAATTGTTTTATTCATTGTTATCTGAACTTTAATCAATTTATACTTTTTGTTTTAAATCCAGTGTGTCATGAATAATAAACAAAATATCCAGAACGATACTTTGAACTTTTATCATAGCAAATTGTGAACAGCTCCCTAAAGACGGAAACAATTACATTGCTATCAAAAACACCTAAAGTTCGGAGTCAAATTTTGAATAATCCATTCATCTGGAGTTCAAATTTTCATCATCAACTGAAATGGAATGAATAGTTTCACTGAAAATGCGATACTGCGAATTATAGATTCCGAATCAGTTCATGCAAATCCAAGGTTGAATACCACTTATTTTTCAGATTTCGTTTGTATGTTACACAGGAATGACATTGTTGCGCTCATTAGATATTATTTTGATAATCTCAGCACCAATATACAAGCGTTAAGCAAAATTGTGCAATATGACTCTCATTTTGGAAATACATTTTAGAACTTAACTGAGGTTTGACTTGTTCTTGTGAATGTATTATTGTTTCTATCTGGTTTATCTCACAAACGTGATTCGTTAGGGGAATTTTTCATCGTTAGTTCGTCAAAAAATTGATTCCGCTTTCTAATTGGTGCGGAATAGCTCCCTTGTCTTAGTTGAGTTTAGTTCTTACTTAGTTTTGATATTCACACATAGCACCCCATTTGTTTTAAGACCAATCAACTCATCTGTTTACTGTGAAAAAAATTGATTCATTTTTAACAGGAAGGCTGAGACTAAACTAATCACTTTCAGCAGGTGAGGGCACGGTGACAGTAATCCTTGGTAATTTGCTTAAAGTAGAATTCAGACAGTCGGTGTGGCCTACCAACTCGGAAGAGTTCGAAAACTTGCCGAATGACTTGGTCGCATGACACTGCCAATTACTTTTGTCAAACCAGAACGCATCAACAGTGCTCTCCCTGGGGAATATAGGTTTCTGATAGTGTAGAGGAATAAATGCAAAATCGCGTTAAAGCAGAATGACTGACCATTGGTTAGGAAAATCGTTTTAAGGAATCTCCTCGCGCACAACTGAAACTGAGTTGAGTATGCACAAAAACGGAAGCCTTTCCATTCAACTCGGCGGGAACGAGTATTGAACTCGGTGAAAGATAGACCAATCAAATATGTGCAACATGAATGGAATTGAGGTTATAATTTAACAGAATCCAAACAGAAAACGTAAACCATTTTAATCGCATTAAACCAAAGTGCAATAACGTGATTGACGTTTGCAAATGCAATTTTTTTATTCAAAAACTTGGTTCATCTTTCTTCAATGGTGATTGAATCAAAACATAGGACTTAAACAGGGAGTATTTGAAAATTTCTCTACTTTATGAGCCGACCGAAGTCTATCGCCTAATATTCCAGCAAAGCCCGATTCCGGACATAGAAATACCGTAATCCATCTTGTACATGGAACGCGAATTAGGTTTTCAGAAATAATCGATTTTTATTTAGGAAAATAAGAACTTGGAGTCAGCTACTGTGAGCAAAATCTAAAAGTAATTGGTAAATAGAAATAATTCTGAAGGTGTTAGGATTGGAAAGCAATTTATGTGCACCGGATAGAGATATATGAGTTAGTACCTGGAATTTATCTATTCGAACACTAATTCAGCTCCATTCACCAGTATAGGCTAACACACACACAACCAATCGATTATTCGACATACTTCTTTTAACTGTTTGAATGATCAGTGATCTTTTGTAAAGTTAAGTACACCACCGAGCCGGAGATTTGCGATCTCTAGAGCAGTGAACAGGTTAACCTAGCAATCAGCAGCTAACAGCTATCCAGAAGCTGACCATATTTCAAACACAAATCATCTTTGATTTCAAACATGGAATGCTGTTTGAGTCAAACCTCGTCCTGCTGAATGATTAATGACAGTCACATATCGTTATCTAGTACGTGGATCGGGTAAAAAAAATAGTTTAGTTCAGTACATACCTGTTAGGTCTGTCCCATTTAAGGGTGTTTATTGATTGTTTCTTCAAGTTTCCTCCGAACTATTGTAGACCGGTTTGAGACCATCTGTCAGATGACATCATTTAAACAACTATTAGGTCAGGCTCAGAACGTTTAAACATCTGTTCCATAAATTTTAAAAACTTACGATCATGTTAAAATATGCCAAAGGCGTTTTCGCAACAGAAGAAGTTGAATGCTTAACCTTTTTGTTTGGAGTGACTATTCCTTAAAACTGCACATATTCAGACAGTGTAGAAACGTTGTTTCCGTGAGTGCAACAAATTTTATAAACCTATATCAGAGTACAAGGATGCATCCAAAGACCAGACCATTACTGGCTTGTGTTTTCCAAAGTTATTAAAACACGTTGAAAGTTCCTTTTAGGTGTAACAAAAGCACGGTGCCATTGAAACCAGGGGAAATGAACTTGGGAAATACTCCCCAATTTTGCAACGTTTCTCAACAAATGGACATGAAGGTTCACTTGTTGAACGGTAACATTGAATTGCCGTTTACTTATCCAATATTTTCACAATCAATATTACTGCATCATTAGTGATATAGACATGAAAAGTTGTTCAGAATTTACGTGAACTTCAAATTGACCTATGGTACAAATAATAATTCAAAATAAATGTATTTTGAGAAAAGAAAACTATCAGTTTATATCGATTAGCCTACCTAATATGACTACCCGTTGTAACCGTTCTTATCAACAATGGGTCAATATTGCCGGAGCGAGTAAATCTCCTGTATCGTATGAACTGTTTACATTTCAAGATGTCACTTATTTTAGACGTAAAAATACGTAGTTAAATCTCAACTATTAGTCATTAGCTTTTTAAAATGTTCTATACTATATATCTACAAGGCGTTTATCACTCTAGTCTACAGTTCAAGATAAACATGCTTAGAACAGCTCTTGCATCACGCGCAATGCTTTCTTGCTCTGATAAGCAATGTCTGAACTGAGTGAAATTTCGTTTCCAATCCAAACTCAAGAATAATCCTGACGGTTATGGGTACTTAGATTTTGTTGTTAAATCAGCTTTCGGAAAGAGACCGCTTTTGATCAGTTGGAAAAATTACTTTCATTATGTCAAACATTTGTTTTGATCAGATGTTGGTTTCTTTCTAGTTTGCCGCCAAACTATTGTTCCGGAAACAATAAAATTACCTCGCTGGAAAGCCAATAACATTTGGACGTGCGTTATCTCACGTTGTACGTGCATACTGTAACGAACTCATTTTGGCACGACATACGACTCGGCTGGTATTAGTCTACTGTGCTCCGGACAAAAAGTGACCTTAAAAAAATCAATCAAATATATACACATGTATGGAGAGGGAGAGAGATCGCGTGGGGGGGGGCGAGAGGGAGCAGGCGAGAAATAACTAGAAAGGTGATCGAATCTCATAGTTTTGGGGTATGCATGTGTAGCGATACAGAGGCTGATAGACCTTCCGTTCGGGGAGTCGAATTGCCACCAATTTAGTGCTAGTAAACTAATAAAAATGCAGCGGTTAAGGCAGTAACTTGCTCTTCTATTGAAACCTAAATTAACAACTGGTAAGTATCATCTACTGGGGATCAGTAGCTATTCACCCGATACTTCATGAATGACTGAATGCTAGTTAGCCATACAGGTGGGAGCCGACAGCAGAGATTGATTTCAATTAGACTGTCTGTTAGTAAACAGTTTGTAAACCGATCAAACAAGGTCAAGGAGTCAATTTTGATTTACTCATGATTTTTTTTAATTTCCATGAAGATACGCATCCTTCCCGTCTGTCCTTTACATGCCAGTCTGAAGCAGTGACCTACCCGCGTGGACGCAAACGCGTACCGGCGTAAGCGTCTGAACAATGGAGTGGCATTTGAGTTCCGGACTACGACATTTTCTCCTGCTCAGTTTGGCCACTTTTGTGTGGTTTAGTCTACTCTGGACACCAACTCATCAGATTGGCTACGACACAAGCATCGCAGGAGAACATGACGGAGACGCGCCGAATTCTTCCATCTGCCGCCGTGCCTTGGCCAATGTGACGAATGACACGGCGCGATGTTGGATTGCACGACACTTTCGGGGGTGTCAATTTGATTCCGGATTCTTCCCATACCTGGTCTTTCAGTACTGCACATTTGATGAACGGATTATTCCAACCGTATTCATGGTACGTGTTGAAAGACCAAACATAGGGTTATTCCCGGATAACATTTATATCAAACAGCTTACATGCTAGCATTGGATTGGAAGACCGAATTAAATCACAAACCAAAAGTGATAATTCATTTCTGGCTTCATTTGCAAAGTAATAAATATACGCAATATTGGAAGCAGGCTGCTCTAATATGGATAAACTTATTCTTTTATGCGCAAATACTTTGAATAGGCTTTCCGAACAATGTGTTTTGCTGTCTTATTTCGTTAGACAATTGTTTGCTTACTGCCGAATTAGATCAACAAGTGATATCTCCTGACCGATTGACAAGGGTACCACTGATAAAGATATATTTGAAGAAATATTTCGTAACTGATCATTTTGATTTTTAAATTAGTGATTTCGTAGAATCAGTGAAAAGTAGTTTTAATTACTCCTCTATTGGACTCTATACCAATCACAGTGTTTGCTTTCTGCCATACTTTAGTAACACAAAACCTATTCAGATAGTGCGAAAGACTGGAGCGAAATACGAGGGTGGGTTTATTTTTTCCTTTTATACGTATTTATATGTACGTTGACATAGCAGTTGTGAAGCTTTATTCTAACTGATAGTCGTATAAAGAAATGGCAACGGAGTTTGATGTATCTCATCTAATTGCAAATCGAAAGTGTAATGTTAAAGGTGAATGAAGACTGCACAAGTTTGTTAAGTGACGTGCAATTCAAACATAAAGGGTACCAACAATGCTAACTTGTTCGGATCTCCGTCACTGGAGTACAGAGTTAAACTGTCACCAAATTGAGAATCAATTGGATTCGGCAATCGGATTTGGAGCTAGGCTGATCCTAAGTTGTGGAAGTCAATCAACCAGAATTCGCCGGATATCGTCAAATTCGTCGCCACAAGACAATCATTACATATCACTTTCCGTTCAATAAGACTGAAGGCCTACAAAACCATCAATCATTTGAGCTTACGAGGCTTGGCTTAAATGCGGATCTTACAAATTGCGTAAAAGTGTATACAGAAAACGTGCAGAATCATGTGAAACTTGAAACGTATGGTCCACTTTGTCTGATTCGATAGAACAAATAGAAGACAAATTCCGCGAGCTATTGACATTTCCCTCAGTCTCCTCAGACTCTGAAACAAAAAATAATCTTAGTATCTTTAAGAGAAAGCTTGGAAAACTAAAGTGATTAAACGGCCGACGGTATGTAACAGTACGCCCCCTGATAAACATCGCTTTGCCAAAGGCTAACAGCCTTGACTTTATGTTACTTAACAACGGCTTGAGATATGAAAGTGGGTCGGCGATGTTTTCAGTTAATGTGAGATGTTTTGCGATTGATGACCCTGGATTTCTCTTATCAACACGACCTCAAATTTCGTTGCGCCGTTGGCTGTAATAATCACTTGGGATGTATTCGGACATTCCTTGTGGCAGGGGACGACTCGTTCTGCTGATGTAACTGTTGCCACAACTGCAGATGACCTGATAGATAATATGTGAAAAGGAATTGGGTAGCAGGCTCTGTTTCCGGTAATGCATTGGTGAATTCTATCTTCCACGCGAATCTTATATAGCGTCATTCAAGTACTTGACCACTGCAAGTTGCTGTCGTATATCTTGGCTTCTGGTGGCTCAATCTGCGTAATTTGAATACAGAATTCGGACAGAACCACAGAACCAACTGTGCAACCGTTTTTGTAACACCACTACTCATTAGAAAAAAAGCCCGTTAGAAATACCGATCGTTTTTGTTCCCAAATTAGCATTTGTCGGCGGCAGACCGCGGTGAATGGCTAATCAGCTTTGGAGCAGTTTGCACGTGAACAAACACTTCTGATGCAAAATAAAGCATGTCACTCAGTCAGTATCAGAAGAAGCAGGATTATATGGAACACTCGAATATCTGTGGGGAAGGGGTCATGAGTCAAAGCTTCGGACATGTTCAGTGATTGTAATTGATGTCAAATGCGGATACCAACGAGTGTGCGGGTTCCAAAACCAATTCACCACTGTATGATTAAGTTCGAATTCAACTTTGTCTGGTTAATTCTGACATTTATTGTATTCCTTTAAGTCTCGGGCATTACAAGCAATTTAGCATTCGTCAAATATCAATGACATGACCATTTTCGGATTACGGATGATTATTTGTTAGAACACTATGTGAACTATCCTAGTTCACGATAGTTTCTTGAAAATTTTAGGCGAACTGTATGATCAATCAAACTTTGATGGGCGAACACTTGAAGTTAATATTTTTAGATAACTGTCTGTCCTTCTTAGCATTTAAAACCCATGATATAAACTGGTTTGAAATTTAAAAGTGATGAATTTACTACAAATTTATGATAAAATGACAAGACGTAATGGTGGAAAAAATTGTTCTGCGCGGTGGAAGTGAGCTATAAGCAGTACTTAGTACGAACCTTGCCACAGCTCCAATAGCCCACCTCTGGGTTGAGATTAGCCATCCTCAATACAGAGTTACAAGTTCGAAGGTGAATAATTGAAGGGCATGCAAACAATATTTAAACGCTTTAATCCCTTGACTGAGTTCCCTAATATGGTGATTTGTGTGTTGCTCTCTTCATGCGATCTTCGCGCTTCACGAGGCCTATTTAGTTACTATGGATTAGTATGCCATGCGCAATATGTTCTGCGGTATTCAACTCCACTGTCGCACGAATCAATATAACGTCTTTCGTACTGTGTCCTTATGTGGCTCACCGCTGCATGTCCCAGAGCCAAAGTTGTTCGTTTATCGGTTGACGTTTCACACTGCATATTGAATCGTTTCATACAGTCACACTCGAACGCACTTTCACGCTGTTTTCATCAAAGGCGGTTCTAATAGTAATGTTGATTCTGTGTAGCTCCACTTTGAACCTGTCGAGTTTTTTCAAGACTAGCATATTATTTTCTAAACGTATTTTGTATCTCTTCAGGCCTTCTTATACATGTTATTCACTTTCGATGTACGTAACTAGTGAATTTGCGTTTGTTCACCGTCCGACATCATTTACTCCCCTATCTAGTCATAATGTTTTCAAACCAGAAATCCAATCCTTGTGACTGGATCTTTACACTTGATTTTGAAGCTACTAATTTTGCTTGCTCAGTCGTTGTGCTCATCATTCTGATTACCTTATTTTATTTTTCTTTCAATATTTAATGTCAACGTTTGTTTCCAAAACTTTCATTCTATCCGCTTCTGTGTGCAAACATGAAATTACGCTCACGATCTTCCAGAGAACTAGAGACAATAATCAGTTCCCAGTAATTTGTCAAACAGACAGCGTTTCAAACGAATAACATCTAGGTAGTCACTCGTTCCTATCCCTTTTCCAAGCCATTTTCCGTAATTTTTATCACTGGTTATTTTCCCAAATTAAAAACGCTTCCCTTAGTTGGTACTCTTTTTCAGAAACCTGAGGTGTTTGCTTCCACTTCTACATCGCGTCCATCTACAACTGTTTCTCGGCCTACCACTCACCAGAATACCGGATAGTTACCAAAATCACAGCGATAATTATTCCTCTAGCACCCAAACCTTATGGCGTCCCATCGGCTGTGCTCGAGACTTTTACACAAGAGCTTGCCCGTATCCTTCTTTTTCCTACTCACTCACAGACGGTTTGTTACCCAGCTACTTAAAAACTGTTTATCTTGCTCTCATCTTCGAGTGAGAAGCAACTTTGCTGCCAATAGGGCCGCTTGACGTTTGCTGTCACAGATCTGCGGTCGGCTTGTTGACTTCCAAGATTCATATTTAATCCTCATTCGTTGATCAATAGGACCAGTAGTATCTGTTCTTGTTTGATATTGCTAAGGAGATTGAATGAGTTTGACAAGACAGGCGTATGACGAAACCTAGCACGTTTAACTCTGATGTTTGATGATGACACCTTGGCTGGTGATGAAACGTTTGCAAACAAATTGCCGAGCTTGGAGGACAGGCAAAATGGAACTCTCCGTTTGTTTCGCGTATTGCATCTTAGGCTTTCAGATTGTGTTGCCTGGGTTGTTTTGAGACCAACGTCGGTATTTCATAACCTTCCGGTTTATTCCCCATCATCTTTTTTTGGTTCTTCCAGAGCCGTTCACCACAAGCTCTATTCAGGCTTCTGTAAATGATATCATTGAAACTCTACTCTCACAACTGTTTCAGTACTTGCACTATTGTTCCCTCTTGCAACTGATTGTTTGTTTGTGCTTTAACCATTTCTAACGGAATCCTTGAGGCAATAAAATCAACTAGCTTTCAATGGCAAAACATCTCTTATATTTGTATCAAGTACAGGTTATACTTAAGCTCCCCATTTATTACCCCATCGTTTGCAGTTGGAGTTGACCTTCAATTTGCGTTTTCCGTATCTGATTTCTCAAATTGTTGAAAATGCATGAATACCCGCTCGATTCGATCACCAGCCAAAAAAACATTGATGAGTAACTTTTGAAGCATTATGGAAGCAACTCTGTGAATCTCACCTTTATTAGAAATACAACGAACGCCTCGAATAAACCAGTTCTTATATAATTCCTTATAAATGCTAATTAGAAATTTGCAGTTTTGTAAAACGATAACCATTAGCTTCCACTTTCACTAGTTTTTTTGTAGTGGAATTATAGTTTCTTTCTAAGGAAATCAGTTATGTCGATCAAATTTATCCCAGTTTATGAAACCATAACCTGATCGAATCGATTTCCATTGTGAAAGGAGGCAACAGATTAACCTTCGCTTCGATAATAAAGGTAAAAACTTGAAAATGATAGGAGTTCGTAGAACTTTTACTTTCAAATAATAAAATCTTATATCCAGCTGATTCTCGTACAGAGGTGGAAATGAATCATTTAAATGGTAAAGATAGCTTTTTAAATCTGTTTCGTCCGTAAATAACAGAGTCTCTTAACCAATTAAGAACAGAGGTTAGTGAGGTTTTCTGATTGCAGCAAACTGTCTAAACCGCACTGTACAAGAGTCGAGGTCGTCCACACTGTTCAACGTCTCACTCGTAAATCCCCGAATTAGCACTGATGATGTTGTCTAGCTTGGCTACTAAACATCTGCGAACAACATTTCCAACTCGGAGAACTCGGCAAGACCAACACACTTTATATAGAATCAAACGTAACTGACCATTTCAATGTTCATGCACTAGCATATCGCAATATGTTTACCAAATTACTCTCACCCAATTTTCTGACAGGTACTTTGGCTTGTGGTACTTTTGGGTGCATTTGCCACCATCGCGGACTCCTTGTAAGTTTCATGTACAATTATAAATTGGTGACCCTCCCCCATCGTCCTTTTTTCATTCAGCAATACACCAGACAACAACTAAAATGGTGAGCTTGGGTTCAACGGAACTGGACCAATTGTGATATTTACAATTCATTGCTCAGTATTGCCACCGTCCTTGAGGCGTTGTGCGTGCTTCGCATAAGTTTTGTAAGAAAGTTAATTCCTTTGAAGATGTTGTTCGTACTTATGTTATTAAATAAAAAAGCCAATAATATACTACACCGAGGAAGTGATTTCACCATTTCTCAAAATCTTTGAGAAACGGAACAGTTATCCTGTACATTATCGTTCTTTATAAACATTTTTGTTGACGTTAAGCACGAAAAACATTGTAAAACAAGAGTGATTCATCAAAGAGGGTAGTAAGGAACTGAGTTTGAACACACTATTTTCCAAACATTTATAGGTCGTGTAGCGCGGCATGTTCTACCGCTTCAGTGTAAAATGAATAGCGTGTTTGTGTTCGCATTTCAGGGTGTCGTGTTTTTCAATTGTTTTATGGGTAAATCCGCACTGCTGACGAGATCTAATGAAGTTTACTCTAAATGCTACCAATACGTTTCTGTATCTCATATCCACCCTAAATAATATAGGCGTATACTATTAGCAAGAAACTTTATTAATCTCTATATTACTGCAGTGGGATTTCTACCACAACCTTTTCAGTTATCACTTGGTTGATTTCATTATCAGCATTTCCTTCTGTGTTTTCTTTTTTCAAACAACTATTGTACAGTTTCAGTCCATCGCTGATTGCCTTGGCTCGGGCCATGCGGATGAGTCAAAATTTGGCTGTATCCTTTCAAACAATGTTTCCGTCAATTTCCTCAAACACGGTGTAGTGTTCGATGAAGTCTGTGTCGAGGATTCACTTGTTGGTTCTAGCTGACTGTTTCAGCATTGACTGCATCATCATCAAGACTAAGCCTGTAATCAGACAAAGCTTCTGCTGTGTACGATTGCCGGTAGCGCATGTCAAGTTGATATCAATTGCAACAGTTTTTAGTCTTCAAGTGGTCATATGATGTATCTTCAATTGTGTGAGTTTCAGCTCGGTTAGCTAAAATTGGAGAAATTTGCATCCAACGCTTTTCACCGGTCTTTAATGACCCACCGACTATATTAATCTATTCTGTTTTGTTGGCATATGATTGGTTTCGCTGAAGCATATTTACTATTGTGCAACGTAACAGCTTTCCTTAGATGTACTGTGCAAAGATTGATCAATCAAACACCCTGACCAACATTGTTAACCCGAGGAGGTTTTCTCAGAATTGTCACTTATGGGAAATAAAAAAATAATCACTTTAAGGTCTAAATATAATGTTTTATTGAAATAATCGAACGAAATAATTTATCATGCAGATTTTATAAAAAAATAAAACATGTTTCAAATTGGAGATAGTGCAGTGCCAAGTACACCATACTTCTTGCGGATTGGCGTAAACGATACAATTTGGTGCTAATTTGCATGATTGCTGTGATTCATAATCTCAGCAAGCCATTTGTGGGATACTTTATATGAAGTTCGAGAACGAATCATTGTTGTTAAACAGATGCTGCTGATACAGAAAGAACTCCGTTTCGAACTTCAATTATTATGTTTCATCTGGGTTGAAAATAGGGCAACACACAAACTAATAACTCGCATTTGATCAAAATGGACAAGCGGTCGGCTGGATTTACATACTGGAGCCCAACCACTTAAGACCATTCCCGGTAGAATTCAGCTGTCCAACGGACAGCCATAAGTACCGGAATTTCAAACATCCTATATATCAGTATAATGGCTCAAACTGAGGACCCCATTTAATCGACGAAAGTCTAACTCATTTGCCGACTGAAAAATCGTACCCTTTCCTCAAGTCTCCGACGTAAACTAATTCACCCAAGGCCAGATTTCATCCACGATTAGTTGATATCAGTCTGCCTTCTGTAGTAGAGGTCTTTCGGATAATAAGTTAGCTTAAAAGATTAAAAACCTCTGGCTCTCCTCATCAGCTTGAACCATGGAGGTTAAGCCTTGGTTTGGGAGCTGAGCAAAATGTTCAGTGGCGTATGAAAGACTGAACAGGTTTCAAATGAATTGTGTGAGTTGCATCAGCCGTATCCTCATCCTAAGTACCTTCTTGGAACACAGGCATTCCTAGGCCTACAAACACTACTTCCATTCATATGAAAGCGGTCTTCGACCCCCTCGATTGCTCTATACTCTGATGTTTCACTTGTTGCAAGATGTACGGAGACGTTTAATTCCATATCCTGCAAACCATTAATTGAAATTGAACTAGAGTTTATGGTCTTTTTCGGCTAAAGTCATCACGGCGATCGATGTTCGCCAGGGTCTCTTTATGTTCAACTCTGTACTGGACAGCCTTTTCCTCATGCTGGGTTGCCAGATTCGATTTTATCCAGGCAGCAGGTTATGTGGTTTGATCCACAGACGACAGTGTACCGTCAAATGAAGACATTTAATTTTTCTGTATAGCATACGTGATAGCATAGTCATGTTCAACATTGCGTGATTCGCCATCAACAGGTCACATTTTGTTACGTAACTTGTTAAATGGTGTTCTCCAGCTTCCAACGTCACGTTAGCTGCAGGAATATTAGATTAACTAGACCAATTTTTCTACTTAGATAGCTAATTCTCATCTTGCGAACACTACGGATGCATTTTTGTCACAGTTAGAGAAGGCCCGGTGGCTGTTTACCAACTTGAGGCATTCCGTTGTCCATGTAGAGTCACATGGATACTATAGCAGGTCCGCCGGTCCTGCTGTGCGATGTCATTACGGTAACAGGATGAAGATAGAGTAACACATCCTCCCAATAAACAAATAAACGACTGAGTAGCGTTACCAAGAAAACGAAGAATTATTAAATCTTATTTAAAGGTTATAATAAATAGAAAGAACAGTCAGAAGCTACAAATGGGAGGACTTCGTCGATACCACGCCTATCCTATCGGGGCTTTATGTGGTTCGCCACTCCAAGTCCCGGGACTTAGGTTACCGGTTTCCACCAATGAACATCAGGTCCTCGTGACTCTGGGGGTTAACTCCGTCCTTCCGTTGAATATTACACTGGTTGATTGTAAACTTAACCATTTCATGAGCACACAAAGTTGTTCTTAGTACGTTAGTCGAACCAGGAAATGTTATGCAAATACTACGATTGAAAAACACGAAAACCCCGATAGATCAAAATTATCTGCTCACTACGGTCTCCTCTCATTTGAGCACGTTTTTCTGTATCTGAGTATCACTCAGCCGGGACCTTAATTCTCGCTCTATACATGCTAACGACTGGATTGTTTGTGGCGAAAGGGTGTGACATTGCTTGCATTTGGTAACGGCGCTCCGGACGTGTTCAGTGCGGTCACAGCCATCACAACAGGGGATCCAGATGCCCCAGACGAAGGGCTCGGTCTGGGATTTTTACTCGGTGAGTAACGTGATGTGATTAGATCAACGTTTATTGACAAGTGAATTTTCGAATGATGCATTTGGTTTGTGTTTATTAATTTAAAACAGAACTTAGAAGCACTATTATAGTGTTACGGAATATTTTTTTAACAGGAATGAACAATGGGGATAAGCGTTCTTTCGGTGCGTTTCAGACCAGAAAAATGATACTAACAGACCGTTCTTTCCGTTTGTTATGCCAACAAATCTCTGCGTTAAATGTGATTAATTCATCGTGTAAATACGGAGTGAGTTTACAAGAATGAGTTCATCACATTTTTATAAAATCACATACTTCACCACTCCCATACATATATCCTCTACTTTATTGTTGGCTATGTACGAATCAGCAGCAGACAAGAAAAAGAGGATTTAAGTTAAATTGCTGAAAAATACGGGCTGCGATAAACACATCATGACAAGTGCCATTCTTATTCGAAATACTTTTTTCGATCTAGTAAACGTACAGGTGAAAGATAAGTACACCTAACAGCAAGCGAGGAGGATTTTCTGAGCATAGCAGCGAAGAATGAATCCATGTGTGTTATCGTTTGTATGGAAACTAACATCGAACGCTGACTCTCACTGGTTACTTATCAGGCATGCTGAATATTTGCATTCGTCCAGTCGTCAACGATGCAGTTAGAACCCTAATATTCGGTCATTATTACATATTTTTGATATTGTTTTACTTGTTTAACGAAGATAATTTGTGTCTCGTTGTCCGGTGAACTTACATCAGTCATGGAGAAACTTTGCTAAGGGAACCGGTTTAAATATTGCCGAGTGTTTCAGCGTCAAGCTGTTCACTGAGCCTGACGATCACCGTTAAAATGGTTTCACATTTACCGAGACGACATTACCAATACGGTTTTGTGGCTGGAGATTATGAGCGTTCAATCACCTTTTCAATACGGTGATTGATAAGTATTGCATGGAAATTCCTATTTTTTTTTAACTAAGTAAATGATAGGCTGAATAGGACGTTTCTGGTAGGTTTTTATTATCCCCAACAAAATGCCAGAGGTACCGCTTGAATAGAGATTACCTAGCAATGTTCAACCAGTGGAAACCAATACTTCCCACCCACGTTCGATCTCCATCGTTCGTAATTTTAATTCACTGTAAGTCAGAAACACTTGCGTAATGTCCTGACAGCTAAAACATTTTCGCAAAGCTCGCATAACGCATAAGGTGGTTGGCTCTCTTGTCAGGATGACCTCCGATGACTTTCAACAGATTTTAGTAAGCACTAGCGCATGAAAATGACCCAGAAACGGCTCACAGAAATCAACGTGCATGCGTTGCCAAAGAAATCAGGTTCCCGTCCACGCGATTCGGTTCTTCGGTCTTGAATTCAATTTCCAATGCATAAATCATATTTTTTAACTGCTCGATCAATATCACCTCTTGACCAGGTCACCAACATTTGTTTGGCACCAGCGAGGCCAGCTTCTACAGACTAAGTGATCTTTAGGTAGGCTTTCTAACATCGATCAGCACAATGAAACCGGAATAATCTCGTGATCAGTGCCACCTAATATATCGTCAGTTCTACAAGGATCTCACTTTGGTGAGCCTAGAAGGTTTAGCACTTTTTCTTTAGAGCCGGGTGCTGACCATTTGATAGTGACGTTATAATCTCTGCTTAAAACCTTTCGACGAACTTTCTAAACTCCTCTCCCGACAGACATTACCGAAACAACAACATGGCATATCTTGGCCATCAGGACATTGAACAATCCAGATAGAATTTTTGCCTGAGGATAGGTTTTACCTGGGTGCTACTCGCTATCTCAGACGTAAATAGTTATTGCATTACCCCTGCTTGAAATCACGGTTTCTTTTGGTTGAGAGACAGATCTACTGGGACCGATTTGTTTCTGCAATTCCTACTTTTCAGTATAGCTTGCGGAGAGCTCAGGAAATAGTCAGTACTTCCTTTGGCGTCCAGAAGACTATTACTTCAGTAGCATTCAACAAACGGCAAATAGAGACAATCGGGTATGCGTCATTGTCAAGTTCGGCACCAATGTCAACACATGACGTGTCTATTACTGATGTTGAGCTCATTGACACAGAAAACCACATGTTAGTAAAGCTTGTTTCACAAATGTCGGTTCACCATCTACTGGCAATCTTGCAGGTTTGACCTCTGGCAACTTTGGAACGCTTCTAGATCAATTTCTGCACTTTATTGTGCGTAATAGATTAACTGTGTCGTTTAACTCCCTGTACGGCAAAATATCTGGCAGCGGGACCATTACAAGTGTACAATTAGTTGGGCGCTAACATCCCTGCCAATCCAATGACTCAACAGGTAAGACATAAACCTTCCAATAACATGACCTCCGGACAAAAGATAAGACCGGTTTGCCTTATGTCTATGTAATCACTTATTGTGTTAGAGTTAATCGGACTGAAACAGAAGAAAATTTCTCCCTAAATTTTCATATATATATATATATATATATATAAGTTCTACCTGTGAGGTCGCAGGTTTGATATTCAACCGAGTCGATCAATTCGCACTACTGAATAAACCGTAGTAGGCAAAACAGTCAACCGTGGAATGAATTTGATCAAATCAGAGGTGATAACTCTGTTGAGTTTAGATGTAGCAAAAACTACCTTCTGAGAATCATCGATGCTGAGAAGTTTCGGATAACTTGTTTTCAACTTGATTGGCACACCTTTCATCCGACCTTGTTATATTTTCATTCATTTATATATGTTTACGCTGTTGCACCACCCCACCCCCGAACGCGGTGTTAGGTTCCGGTCTTCTGGTCAACACAATCACAGCAGGCTTGGTCATTATTATCAAACCATTCAAAATGAGCCGTCGGCCGTTTCTGAAAGATTCTTTTTTCTATCTCTCTGCGGTCACTTGGAGCGCATCGATTCTCATCCGAAGGCGATTGTATTACGCTGACGCAATCGGTACGTTTGTTTTTGTTGTATCGATTTCAACAATTGTTTGCGAATTGAAAAAGGGTGTGCATCATATTCATATAGGAAAATGATTGTTGTAGGTTAAATTGGAACCGATATACTTCTTGGTGGTTGTCATATCAATTTTATCTTAAATCACGATATTTTCAACTCAGCAGATCACACACAAACAACAAGTCAGTTTTGTTACAAAATCGGATAAATAGGTTTAAAATCAATAAATCGAGTATGGTATTTTCAATACTGTGTAATCAAGATTCTTAGTCGTTTCCAAGCGAGATAACGCATATCTCGACCTGTGCTATTCATCGGTTGATTATTTTCAGTTTAAAAGCACTTCATCAACCGATCCTCACGTGCGTTCGCGGGCGCGCACACACAGGCACAGAAAAACACGCTGTTTGATAACCGAAACCCCATTCACCGCTATTTGACATCACAACTGCTCCTTTATTATCTTGACTGACTTTTGTACATTTGAATGTGCAACACGGTGGCTTGTAACGTTCTAACAAATCCTGATTTTACCTGCTCAGTCCGTCAACGTTCCTAGCTCGTTTGGCACGGAGGTTATGGTGCACTGGTTATGTGATTGCGCCGTAATTATTCACACAAATCAGAAATGACTAGTTTCACTCGAATCCATGACGTCATTCAAAAATTCCTACAGTGATTGTTGTTTGCCATACGGTTTTCAAGAAAGACCGAACTGAATACGTTAGGAAATATCCCATGGAGGTTGTTGTTGGTTTGTTTGATTTAGGATATTTGAAACTTACTTTCGATGGTCGGGGAATAACTTGATACATCTGCTCAAGTGGTCAGAATGAATCCCGAGTGCTAGTAGATACTTAATTTATGTTTTGTAATCAGCACTTTATCTTCCACAATACGGCTATTTGGTTGGTTAAAAAGATTGCTTCACTCAAAGACTAAATGTTACAAAGTTTCGGGAATCAAGCAGAATTGTTTAATATCGACTTTTTACAGAAATGACTAAGACCTACAGATGAATGTTTTCGCATACATTCAGTATATCACTATTATCTGTAATCCTCTACTTAGATTATTGCCCAATCAGAATTAAATATTTCTCCTTTCAATAACAAGGACTTCTTTCAGTTTGGAAAATTTAAACATGTATTTTCATCACCTCAGCCATCCCATTTTCCATCACCTGTCTCAATTCAAATCAGGATTTTTGGTTTTCTACCTGATTTACGTATTCACCACTTGGATTGGTGGCACACTGTTTCGTCGACAAAAGGAGTCCGAACGACTTCGCGGAACCGGCAACTTTTGGCCGCCATTTTTACAACGCCTAATCACCGCCTTTCACACCTGCTCGGTGCAGATTAAATCATGTTTTTTCCACGGAGCCAAGTGCTTCTATCCTATCTACGGTTGCGTAAAATCTGTGATTGGCCGGAAGGTCAAATCGTCTACAGGAGCTGATCAAAAATCGCAAAACGTAAACGCTGTAAGTGTGATCAATGCGTTATCAACACGATACCGATCAAGTGACAATCTGGCCATCAGTCAAACAAATCTTCCGGTGCAGCTAAGCAACGGAACACTGGGTAGGTTAAATAAAGTTGCCAATCGTTGAAGTTAATTTTGCACTACTTAACTCATTGTTGCGCAACGTTTGCCCCACCAGTGTAAACGAAATTGCTTCCAGAATGCAATCGCTTATCAGTTCCAAATCAATTAGTGGTTATTGATTTCGATTATGCTGTTTATTGCGTTTTAACACATTCACTGGGTACCTTAAATACTAAAGTTTAAGGAATTTAATGTGTATCAAACCAATCTGAAGTGCTACTATTTAAAGGACAGCTGGCATAAAAATACAAAACATCACCAGTGTAATGGATCATAGCGCCATGGATAATTGATCTTCATTTTCACTATCGTATCTGTGCACTATTTCTCTACTTAGACTGTGCTGAACACTTCATCGTGTCAACGATCTGTTCTGAATTCCATCTTCCTCCAAGCCAGCGGCAGCCCTAGCAATTTACGCGAATGAACGTTCATCTCCTTCATCCTTCATCTCCAAACGAAAATTACAAATGCTGAAATTCTTTTCAGTCACCTGCGTGGAGGTCTCCATCAAAGTGACTTGAATTTACAACCCAAGCGGGGATCGTCAATCTCTCTTTCCTCTGTGGGATACTATTTACGCCGCAGTCGTTTCCGTAATTAATATAGGCTTTCTCTGCCGGCAATTCTTACGTAAATTCTGTTATTGTAGTGCTGAACAATGATCAAAACCAGTATTGAAAAAGGAAGTACACAAAACTACAGTTTGTAGCCAATTGTCACTCACTTGATAGTACTCTGCAATGTGTGTTGTAAACGTTATTGTGTCGTGAGTTTTGGGCAAATACAAATACATATGCATAAAGTATCTGCACATACATATGAATATGCGTAGGATATACATATGCATAGGCCATACATAATTTGTTAACTCGAGAAAAAGTACACGTCTCACAGTCGTTATGTTATTTAGTCCGTTTGAAACCAGTTTATAAAGTGTGAATTGCGGCCAGCTTCCATTAACAATTAGACAGATCGGCGTTTATGTGTGACTCGCACTCCAGGTTTGCGCCAATCAGCTTATTCCTTAAGATCAAGGTCTCGAAAGCAGGAAGTACGAATGCCGTATTTAGGAATGAACCGTCATTTACTGTAATGGGCATGAAACCTCCCAGGGAATCAATCGTATTGAAACCTTACACACATGAGCTGCGAACTTTGCGGAATCTTGATTTTTCTATCAATTTAGTGATCAGTGTATTTTAGGTTCCTATGCATTTCATGTTCACCCGGTACCGGAATATGCCCAGATTAAAACAGGACAACATTGATCATAAGATGCTTAAGTTCCAGTATCCAAAACCTAATGCTGCATTCTTTCTAACTCTAATGAACATAGGCTCTGATGCATATATATATGTAACGAAACCACACCTAATGTATGAAAAAAGCATGCATGACCGATCACAGATTTTACATCTAATCAGTGAATGGAAACATGTAACAGTGAGTAACAATGAGCACAGTGGAGCATCATCTTGGATCATTTCTATTTAATGCACCATTAGTTTCATCATTGCATACCTGTAATGAACCAGCGCTTGGATCTGACGATATTATGCGCCGGGTTCCCGCCGAGGCCAGTGAACTGCTCACAATCCCAATGCATGATTTCAATCTACCAAAAAACACCAGGCCATTAATCAAGAAGGTATTGATTTTAGTGAATAAAGATGTTCGGAAAACAACTTGCAATATACAACTGTCTGCTCAAGTCACGATCGCCAACTGCATGGAATTCAACGTTGAGAGCGTCTTCAAAGGCTATAAAACACGTTGGATTGCTAGAACGTGTTTTTGGATCATTCGAAACGGACCTGTTGCCCCGTTTATTATCAACATAAATTAGACCACACACCGGGTACGCCATACAGACTTGGAATATATGGCTGATTCGCTAACAAAAGGCACTCTAACATCCGTAGAGAACAGCAACAGAAATGGTCAAAGGATTACAATCTAAGACCTACGGTGAAAAGCTACGAATTCTCGGACTCTATTCGTCTGAATACCATCGAATAAGAGGAGAAATAATCATCGTATATCAAATATTACATCAACATGATCACCCGTGTAGTACTCTACTAACACTATCCAGGAATGGCCACTTCCGGAGACATCCGTTCAAACTTTCATTACAACAGAGTCGGCTAGACTGCAGGCGTTATTGTTTCAGCCTCAGAGTTTGTAATAACTAGAACTCTCTTCCATCTCAAGTTGTTTGTGCACCAAATATCGATTCATTCAAGTCACGACTGGATGAAGTGTTGAAACACTTAACTTTTCAGCACCCGTGAATGAACGTCACAATTTGCTATTTAATTGTACTACCGACCGAACCCAGTGTGCACAGATCCTCTGGAATTCAATAATTTACCCATAACAAAAAATTTGAAGTTTGAAATTTTCATCCAAGTTCTAAGAGACCAACATGTTTGTACCGATGGGAATAACTATTGAATCGGAACGATCACCTAGGTCAACGTTGAGTGACGCGCAATCTCAGAAGCCAATTTCAAATGTTCCAAGGGTTTATTCGACTCTGAACAATAGTGAATAATAATGCGGTACTGTAAATATAAAGCTTTAGAATGACATAAACAAGACGCCTCAAATCATGGCTTTCCCAGGGAATATGCCTGAACAGGCGAAATGAACAATGCCAACCGACAATCAAAGTGCAAACGGAGTTCACCACTCCGTCAAGAGAACAAGCGATAAATGACTGTGACGCATGGTTGAGACAAATAGGATTAAGCAACTGCATATGATAATCAGAGGGCAGGGTGAGTCAGAGCCAACGGTCAGGGTAAGGGGTGGGAATAAACGAGTTTAAGGGGGGCGATGAAAGAAATGGAGTCACTCGTGGCGGCCGAAAGGTGCATATCCGATGATGAATAATACTCACGGATCAAGACAGTGACAAAGGAGAGAGAGAGGTGACTTGCATTGTATTGCATTGTAATACAGATTTGTGGGTGAAAACGTGTGGAGAGTCNATTCAACATCGCCTCCCCAAATCCGGCACAGCCTGACCTGGAGCTTCACTCGTTACTGCGCCCCATGAGCTCAACCCCATGCAAAAATTGTACTATTTACTCCCGCCAGAATCGCTAGTGCCAAACCCAGGTTTGCCCTATTCACGAGTGATGCGCCTAATTCTCCTCTATACTTTGCAGGCAGAGCGTTCTAATGTGTCGGCTCAATTGTTCTCGCTTCCCTCTCGCTTGTCATGTTGGTAAATGCTTTCGCATCCAATGTCACCACAATTTGTTGCTCACAAATGCCTTGGCGCAACCAGTTGTTATCTGCCACGCGTCAAGGGGTTGTGGTGTGATAGATATTGGGAGNNNNGACGAACGAATCGATTCTTGTCGATCACCTTCTTGAGGACCAGACTCATATTCGACTCGACCTCGGTCAAAGATGTTAGGCAGTTAACGATACCCGACCGCCCTACAGGTTCGGCATCGGTCCGAATAACACCCAACCAAAGATAATCTGCGTCTCCAAAGGTTGTTTTGAAGTTCCAGTCCGTGGGTCTAGAGACCAGTGTGCTTCTACTGTATTCGTACCGATGAGGATCCCTACCTGGGAGTCTGGGATTTCATTAAATTGAATGTCCTTTAGACATGGCCAGTGGCTCAACCCAGATGATGGTAGAGAAGCCTTCCTCACCGTGATGTCACCTTTAACTAGGTCATCAACTTTGTACTTGGCTCAATCAAGCGAAAACAGTTTGATTACCTTCCCGATTTTCAAATGGGCAGTTAGTATGCGCGTTGTCCACGAGGTCTTAGTGAGGGTAACGCATTTTTGACGACTAATGATTCCAACAATCCATTTTCAAACCGGAACTGCAGTATTTCAGAACTTCCTGGTTGGTGTTTCTGTTGCTCTGTATAAACCTATTACAATTACCCTCTGTGAATGACGCAAATTTTGGGTTCACTAAACTGAAGATTGGAAAACGACAATGCCCCAGTATGTCTATTCAGCCTTGTAATTGCAATGTTCACCCGCTGGTCGACAAGGCACTGAAATTTCACAGATAAAATCAGTTGCTTTCACCTCAGTGGTTACTTATTCGCTCCAGTACGCAAAGTTACATAGGTTGTTGAATGAGGCACTTATCACAACGAATAGAAAATGCACAACATAACTGATATAGGTTCTTGAAAGCATTAACCACTGTGATCACAGCCCACTACATTAGGTTGGTGAAAAAACAATTCCCCACAAAGAGTATTTCCGAACAGATCGAGTTTGGTGTGAAAAAGTCAATTAACAACAGCGGAAGCGAAAGAAATTAGGCTACTGAACCCAACACTGTGTGAACAGAAGAGACTGGTCAAAGATTTTAAGCTTCTGTTGCCAGCCGACCTGAAAGACATCTGTCACGGAGCGATGATTGCAGAAGACGCAACCCAGTGAATTTTATGGAGATCAACGGTCAACGATTTACCAGCACTCCCTCATAATCCGTTCGTATGCGGCCCCCTCCACTTTGTCACTTTTGTTTTGAAATTACCAGATCACTAAACGAAATAAAGTTTTGCGGACCCATCCTATCTCAATCTTTGTCTTATATAGGCATGCATGCACCTGTGATTGACTGAAAGCAAAGCTACAGAACAAGCTCATTCGCATAGCACTGATGTTTTGATGACTTAATGAAACCTTCAGTAGGAACAAACCTTATTTCTGATCATTTTTTTCTCTGATTGGTCATAGGTGACAGCACATTCTGTAGAACAGAACAGTGATCATTCATGAAAAATTATGTTCAAATTAATGTGACCCCAACACACCACATGGCTAGTGAACTGCTAGCAATCAAACCCCGGGAAACATCTAAAGTCATAAAAAGTTGTAGTGGAACGCCACTTCTTAATTGACAGCCTAATAATTTGATGCACGCACGCTATATTACAAATACACGAATTCTGTTAAGTAAGGCCCTGGAATTCAGGGTTCCTTCACAATTTGGGTTTCTATTCTCGCACCGGCCCATACTCTCTGGGCGTAATTAGAAATGTCTCCAGATTTTTCTTTTCCATTTGTACCGATTTCATGTTTGCACTCATTAGGCAAAAATACAAAAAATGGGACCTATTGCGGTGGTCCTCACTTGTTTGACGGATTACACAAAAATAATAAAAAGCACACAAATGCTCAAATAGACTGGGCAATTTTCAGCTCCATTAAGACTGGTTGTAAGCTCTATGGTGCATTTTCATCACAGATATTGTGATCTTGATGTGCGTTTTCCATTGGAAAAGTGGCAACCAGAATTGAATAACGTAACAGATAAAAGAAGTAATTCTATTCGCGTCATTTAAATGTCACCTCACTCACCCCTGTAACTGCGCTCTGGTACTTTCACCAGGTGAATGATTCTGTAGGGCACTATCCTCATTCATCAGGGTCAACCATTTGTTTTGTGCGAGAACATCTGTGCCAAATCATTAGTAAAATCAATAATCGGTATCGTCACAGTAACCCTAGACAACCACANACAGACATAAAAAACAATGGTAATGGTATTCATGATGAGTTCATCTGGTACGCGACTGTATACCTTCAGTGTAGTGGAGTGAACGGGGATCCCTTTGGTAGGTTGGCGCCATCAGTGCTAGATAAAAGGGAAATGTATATCAGTATCGGAATAGCTCTCCCACCGCGATCAAACGCACCGTTCACAGGCGGTCTGAATACTGCGGTCTCTTTACCAATGCGCAGTTAACCCATGATGTATAGAAACACGGAAACAAACCAGTGTGTTTAGTAATCAAAGTTTGATTTCATTTTATTCTACTATGCCTGAGTGAAACAAAATCTTCAGTGTTTTGTCTAGAACTGTAAGTTCGATCATTTGAGTTGTGTTATTGATTATCAATTAGCTAATTCCTCTGGAAATTCATCCCGACTTTATTGATGTCCAATACACCATCAGTGTTGGGTATGAAAACTCAGTGTGTCTGGATTCCGTTGCTACTTCCGCATCCATGAACCCGGGAGATTAATATTGCTGTTGGAAACGCTCAAATATGCAACCTGATATGCACACAATCGTTAGGGATTCCAGTACAACACGAACACAGTCGATCTTCAAGGGTGTATGTATGCTATCGATGAAAACAGTATTATTTCCTTGTCCTCCTCCATCTAGCCTCACGGTGATGCAACATCCGGTGAATATTTTACCTCATGCATACATTTTGTGATGGTTTTCGTCGTTCAGAAGAAACATGAACTGAAAAGCTTAAAATCAATGTATGTATGTTTTGACTTCGTTGAGTACCATAAATTGTGTGAATCCCTTGACCAAACTATGAATCGAACCAGGGACCTCACATTATTACCCAGCTTATCATCCAGCAGTCATCTAAACTGTTTCACATTGTTATTTTACGATAGAGCGAAATTTCTCCTTACAATGTTTTGGGTAACATCCCACTCTATCTACCTAGGCGCTACCCTCCGGTCGTTGTAATTTAAGGAAGCATATTCTGAACGTGACTCCTTTAAAGGAGTTTTGAACGAGTTAAATCATTTTTCGGGATCATGTAATGGTCACTCTCGTTCTTCCTCGCTATCACTAATACTAAAACCAATTCCTTTTCGTATCTGCAACGGGTTTTCTTTTGACAAACGATGGGATTCGTACGATCACACGCTAAACATTAGAAAGCATAGATAAATATTGTCACCGTAAACTTGTCCGAGTAAGCCTAATAGTGCATTTAACAAAACAGTGTTCTGTAATCATTTATGGGTATCCTCATTGAAATGGGATGATGAGCGCAATTGTTAAGTTATGTGGTTGCAGTCGCAACAGTATGATTTGTTTCACCAAATTTTGTTCTTGGGCAACAGAAATATGCTTATCTCAGCTTGCACTGTCATTCAATATTCTGTTTGAATTTACCCCAATGATTTCATAATAGGGACGCGTTTGGTTTTGAGATCTTTGGTGAGATTATCAAAACAACATAATATAGCTGTTTGAAATAAGAACAGATCTGATATTAAAACTGAACACCTCTTTGTCAACATTGAGTTCACGGGGGATACAAAAACTGGATTAGTCACAAAATGGGGAAAACATTTAAACAATTTGACGTGACAACAAATACGACAGCAATCAATCAGAATCATACATTGCTTTCGCATTCTTAATTTCAAAGTTCTGTAGACTTATTACTTAATAGATGCAAGTGGTAACGCAACTCTAAAACGTTTGACCACCACCATTTCAAATTGTGCATCTCAAACTTTTCCTTTATTTTCTCAGTGCAAGGTCAGATTTTAGCTTCAGATTCCTTAAAACCGGCCCCACAAAACTACCCGCAAACTTTGAACAAGCCGGTGATTGAGATAACTTCTCCACAAGTCAATGACTTCAGTGATATTGTCACTGACATGAACGAGGAAACCATCAGTGCTGCCGATTATGACGAACGCACCTCAACCGTGGCAGACCCCATTCCCATGGTTCCTATGAACTTTCTCCAGCCAGTTGACGGACCACGCCAACGTGCTTCCTCGGTCGGGTCCTCCTGCGTTGATCCCAATCGGCGGCGTCTGTCCAGTAGCACTCCTGGCACAGGAGGATTGGCACGTGAGAGGTGTCGACGCACGCAATCAGTCAGCAGACGTCGTGCAAGCACCAGGATGAACGCTGTCGGTTATGAACTACCTTATATGGTTCGTTGGATTATTGGTAAGTGTGTCACTATTAGGCAGTTATCTTAATTTTCCAACATTACGATTTCAGCAACTTTATAATTTAGTTAGGATGGAAATGCCCTCTAGTGGCGACCCTCCAAGAATAGCTGGGCGAGCTCGGTTGCCCCTAGCGAAATCTGTTTGTCCCAAAACTTAAAATTATAAAATTGCCCCTCTGTGTGAGTACATTTTCAAATCAAGAAATTTCACCCTGAAGGGGGCACATGACTGCTGTGCTTTATGAAATGTAGCGTGTAGTACGATAAACGTTTAACAGCTTTGAAAGCATTTTTTGTCGGCACAGACATTGTTGGTTGTCTACTGAAGAGGCAATAGGGCTTCTATCTGGATTCTGTTTGTACCCCTGTTTCAATGTGACCCTATTAGTGGGTTCAAGTATTTGAAGTGCTCCAAGGGTCACGTATTCCTCGTGTGGACAATGAACAACCTGGTTGAAACGTTTGCCCTGTTTCCTATTTTTAATTTCCAAAGACCCCTGTTAACCCTAGCCTCTATATGAACATGAGTTGGACTGAAACACAACAGGTTTCAGAATGCAAGAACGGATCGACAAGCGTCAGCAGCTATGAACCGACTTATCACATTCTCCGACCATTTAGGAACAAAAAATAACGATTTTCGATACCCACAGATATAGCGAATTAAGGGTTGAATAGCACTTGATTTGTATTTAGGAAGCTCATATTCAATCCACGTAAAACGACAAGTGTAAAATCAACACGTTTCAGTGGGGGTGAATTTGGATTAAATAGGTGAATTTTTCTATCGAAGTTCAATCCGGAGACGTCACACATTTGTCTAGATAGAGAAGGGGGGCTATTTGTGAAACCAAACTGAAGAATCTCGGACATGGAATCGCTAACAAGTCGATTTCCCTGATTCGGAAACTTCGGAAAAAGAACTTACTTTCGGTTTGATTTAAAGTACCTCAGCATTTCTAAACATTCCAACTGCTTAAATCCAAATTCCATTACTCGTTTTTTCCTTTCTCTATCAAGAGTCATTGCTAAACTTTCCAGTAACCATACACCATTTCAGAAAATTCGGTAAACTTCTCTATCTATGACGACGGTTAGTAAACTTATGGCATCTCGCATTTCGCTCTCGATTTGGTCAAATGCTTTCACAAACAAATTTCGGTGATTATCAAACGTGGAGTGTCTTTTTTATTAATGGACTTTTAAGTTGAAGAAAAACTCAAAAATTTCTTTACCTGCTCTGTTACCTACACATCATCAAATGAGAGGAACAAATTTCGCAAAAATTAGTTAAAGAAATGGTACATAAACTTTGACTGAGTATGATGATTTTCTCTGTGGTAAACCACTAAGTTAGGAACATAAATAGCTTATTGATTGCCACCATATGTTCGTATTCGTTTTTTATCTCGGTCAATAAAATCTAAGACTAATTACAGTTCCATCTGCAGCTTGACATCGACTACTGGACGGGAGAAGCCACTGATGGTCATTTTGGGTCCTCTTCAATCAACATCTCTGCACAACCCTACTCCATTTCAGGGTTTTTCCAACATTACAACGGTGGTGCTGTAACTAAATAAAGATAACTCCTGTTGGTTCACTACGAACCACACGAGCTAGGTGTTGTCGTCATCTCCTCCTCCTCCTAATCACAACCAAGTCATTCATTAGTCTCACTAAGTTAGATATTTGGTTGCACATTGTGTAGCGTAGCTTATGCGAACCAGGTACTCCCACGGTGTGCAGATGAGTTGTCCCCCACAAGCACTCAAAACCAAACGCTGTTTTGAAATTTACCTTACACAGTTACCGCTTCAGATTTGCAACCGCTAGCCATGCTGCGGTTACCACAGTATTATGACTCGTTTTAACATAGAATCTTGTGCTTCTTACATAAACATAAAGTAGGAAAAATCACAATCCATATATGTGTCTTGGCTTGATGACCGGATGTAATTAGCCCTTGGAAGCATGGGTTGAACGGTTTGGGCTATCAGAACTACTGCCATCTTCGATCGCGGGCAGTCCCAATGAAATGGATTGTTTAATCCACTCATTCTTTCTTAGTTTGTTATCTTACAGATTATATATCAGTCTGACACACATCAATCGGTAGACGACTCGTCTAAACCAACCCCTCAGTCAATTTACTATTTCTTTATGTATGAACTATACAAACAACTGAAAATCATTCGCATACTCAATTCGAAAATGAAGTCACGGCAAGGGGATTGCAAATAGTTCCGAACGGATTGCAAACATGGGGGCGGTAGTATACAGGTGAGAAAAGCAGAACGGCAATCAAGTTTGATCTGACATACTAACACCGAGAGGAAGTACTTGCATCATCCGGATTTCGGTTCCCCAGGCTGAGCAATCGTCCAAGCTTGTTTCACGCACACACTGAAGATGTTGCCGTGAACGCACTGCTTTCAGTTTGATACTTTGATGTCAAAACAAATCAAGCGTAATAAACGCAGGAACGGCGTTTACATAGTCTGAAATCCAACTTTTCATGACCGTTTTGATATTATTCACAAAGATAGAAAAAACAAATAAAATGCCCCAACCATTTAGTTAAACTTATAAATGACTAAAAAGAACGTGAATTTCAACGGAGTTTGAGCTATTACTGTCTACGTTTCTTGCTCTGAGCTCTGCTATATAGTAAGCATGTCAATTTTGTGAAAGTGCACCACTGTCATTATGCTTATAGTATGTTGTGATATTACGCAAACAACTTTTGCTGCAGATGAGATACTAAGCCCCCCTTTTGGTCCGAGCTTGCTGATACTTCATAACCCTCATCATATCTGTAGTGTGAACGACTGCTTGAAACAATATTCACACACCATTTGTCTGGCTATGAAAACTGGCAATAAGCAATCGGACTGTTTTTATCCTTCCTAGTTGTTGATTAAACTTGGTACAATTTGGGATGAGCCAAGTCCTGTTGCTAGCATGCATTTTTAGGATTTCTAGTAGTTAAAAACACTTGGTTATTTTTTCCCTTTCCTTCACTCTTCAGCAAACCGGGAACTGGAAGAAAAGGATCTGGGAGTTCGTAAGTTGTCTTTAAAATATATGAGTAAAAAACTTCTCGAATGACAAGAACCTTTAATCGGCGTACATAAAATAATTGCGATCATGGCAATGAATTCACGGCACACTTTGCATTATCTCTCTCTCTCACCCGCACCCACCTTTGTTTCGGAGTACATCTTTTTACTTTCTGATAAATGTTTTCGCCTAACCAATCAAAGAAATGAAAATGAGAGTGAAGCACTAAACTACACTGCAAGAAATTGGCATGTTTTGCCATATTTGTGCCATTCTGCTGTTCTAGTGAGTAACCCAGATAATGCTTCACTTCCAACAACGAAAATGAGTACGCAAAAAAGATACGCTAATCAGCATTCAGGTAATTACACTAAATATATACTGTAACAATGTGAGTGGTTGTACCACTTAAGACTAACTATAGCAACTTATCAACTTCTACTTTGACATACGTTTATGGGATGTCGTCCTGCATGGGAATGAGACAACTTCATGGACATCTGTGGCAATCGCTGCATTAACCACAGCGATCACGAGCTGGATAGATCGAGATTATTATTTTCGTTTACTTTTTTAACGAATACATGATACTGATGTACTGATGAATACATGATAGTACAACCAGTTTTCAGGAGTGACTAGGCTGTCAATCAAGGTGCTTTCATGTGAAACAAGGGACTAGCGGAAGTTAAGCGATGGTGCTGGTCGGGTTTGAACACGACCTATAAGTTGGTGACCCTAACTGAATGACCAGCCGCGGAGTGATTGAAGGCTTGGCTACTCTGTACTGTGGATTTATTGATGTCTTTATTTAACCATCAAGATGGAATCACCAACTTGTGTATGATATGGAGCGCATGGCTTGTATATTGTTAAGATTGTTAGAATAAATGAGGTGGAAGAACTGCTCTTTGAAGTACTCTGGCGAGGTTTATTATTGTCTTGTACAGCTTTCGAACTAACCCGGTACTTTATGCTCTCTCGGAGAAATGATCTGAAATGATCTGCTGGAAGACAGTGTAGACTTCCAGGAGTCTTAAACTTTCTGATAATGATTACTTTAAGCAAAGGGTCAATCGCAAAGTAGTAACCAATGAAGACAAAGCAAATATTTTACAGAATCAATTGGTAAATTAATGGTGTAGTGAGGCAGAGAAGTAACGAACGCTGAGTCGCGGCTCTCGAGTTTGTGCGCAAATCGCCAGGCCTCATGAGTTATGTATTTACATAAGTGTTCACGCTGTTACGTAGGGCTCGCTACAACAATTTCAGGCCTGAAGAACTGTAAGCAAAATGAGATAAAGGGGGTTGGGATTGAGTGTGAAATTCGTGTAGTTCGGAACTGGGATTAAAATGAGAAGTTTCCAACAGTGGGACGTGAAGCCGTTTTCAGAGATACGTGAATAAATTGGACCAGGATATCTACAAAGGAAGATGCACCGAGTTCCAATAACGGTATGCGATGAACTTGGAAATGAGACTGCAATTTTTTCAGCTAAACATGATGGTTTGAGGAAATTCATCTATTTAGTGAGCGCTGTTTACTGTAGCCTTCGATGGGCTTTAACCGAACGAGTGGCGTTACGCCGCAGTGCGCCAGAGTTGGAAGAATTGGTCGGATAACTGAACTGTGGCAATTTAAATTCCATCTTTGCTCCAAATGCAGCAAAACGTAGCGGATGTTGCTGACTGTATTGATCCGCTGACTGCACGTTTTAGGTAGTTGGTAGAATATATCAGTGGAGCGATTTATTCCCTCTCTAGGTTACCTCAGGCAAGCCACTTTGTTGTCGTTAGTTGGAAATCTTGCTTGTTGCGTGATCTTTTTATTCCCCATTTCAACACCTCAAAATGAAGGAGTGCATTCAATCGACAACACTGAACGAGATCGCATGGGCATAAATTCCAGATGACTTTCTGTTCTGTAATCGTAATTGTGTACCAAGTCAGCAGGTGTTTTCGGAGTGTTGGAGAAGTATGATTACAACGCTTGATCGGTTGAAGTCAGTGAATGCAGCTAGATGTTCTCCGTTATTTTACACCGAACATTTCTCCGTCATTTTACGTATTTTCATCTAAAGGGCCGCGTGCACAACATTTCAGTCCATCACAACGCAAAAAAGCGTACCGATCTCGTCTTGCAGCTCATCGCCGAAATCAACCCTGACATTGCTGTCTGGAGGTAATGCTGCAACGGCGATGCCTACAGAGGCTGTAATCTCTTTCTCTCCCTCACACACACACACGAAATCATGGTTTTGTTAGCTCACTGTTGTGGAGCAAACGCGTACAAATTTACTAGAACCACTGAGCGATCTTTCTGATATTTCAGGTGGTTGCATGTACGAATGTCCTAGTGTTGGTGCATTTTGGGGATACCGTAGACAGAGCACATAGGACATCTAATCCCTACACAGTCAAATGCAAGCCGTTATATTATTTTTTTTGTCAACTGCTTATGCCCATGTTTTTATAGCATTATTTAATTACTGCCTGAAAATAAATCAGAGCCTATTTGAAAGGACCTTTTAAGGTTCGATGTGTTTTGCAAATGTCACTTACCTCTAAGACAATGACCACTTAACAGACAGAAAAGAATAAAATCTTAAAGAATAACTAGATTTTATTTTTTCCGACAAACAAAACATTTCTCTTTCTCAGTCACCCTAGGGAATATTTTGCGGTCGATTTTACTGATCTGTAACTCTGAAAATAACAAATATCTACGTAGACGTAACCCGCAACGCTAAGGTCAATTAATATTTGTTCACCAAGACAATCGAATTCGTCGTCACTTAACAGTGAAAATATACCTTTCCATTCTAAAACAATACCTGATGGTACTTATTTTATGTACCATGCTCTTCCGAAGGGTGGATTTAGGCAGGAATTTAAAACAGACTGAAATACTACCAAATCCTCACCCATTGTTTGCTTCTGTTCCTCATTGAACCGGACTCAAGAATGGTAGACTAAACCACCTTAACATTGTTACTCAACTTGGTGTTGTGCGGTTACTTAGTTGTTGCTTTTTTGTTCGTAATTTTTAAGGCATGTACACGCTGCTGCCTCCCATTAATGATCATTATTTCGCATTTTGGTTCTATTCGTTCACACATATTGCTCATAAATTCCACTTTTGGTGAAAACGACTTTCAACTCACTTGCTTACGATACAATTCTTCAAGATGGAGATCTGAGAAAGTCACAAAAATGGCTGCAATCGGACACGGAAGATGGACGCGGTTCTGCATATCAGGGTTCCAATTGGGATAGCCGTACAGACGTGTACGGATCCACTTTCGGTTAGTTTATCCGGTTCGATGAAATATTTTTACGTGATCGTCATTTAACTGATTATTCAAAAGATTCGGTTTTTTTAATTTTATGAGCCAGTGAAAATGGGATACTTGTCTAGGATATAAGAGCATGGATATCATTTGTTTAAGATGAAAAAACATTCCGAAAGGCGTGAGCTTAAATTGTGTCACTGATGCCAATCTTCCGCAGTTCTGCGTGGAAATAGAAACGCTGTCTTTTAGAATTGGGTGATATTGAGACAGGGGTTGTCAACGGTCTATCGGACTTCGTATTATTTATCAAGGATTAACTATATCGATCTGATTGAATGCAGCATCGAAGTTTGTGATTCAACCGATTTTCGACAGATCTGTTCAATACAGTCACTTTCATAAAAATGGGTCACATTAGAAATCGAATAGAAATAACAGTAAGAGACTATCCATTTTTCAATGCTGTGTGATCTTTGTGGACCGATGTCATAGGCAGCTATCACACAACCAAGCGATATCTGGACCAAGCGGATAACAGATGAGGGATAGACACACTTAGACCATATTTCGTCAATTATCGTCCTGCTAGAAACTCATACAGAGGCATTATTGTAAAGGGATAGTATAACAAACCCCGGTAGTCCAATTACTTGCATTCAATCATTTCATGAAAATGCTAGTGTCATTCACAAAATTGTAGCGGAAATAAAAATAGCAGCTTTCCAGAGTTATCTTGTTCGATTAAAAGAAATGTGTAGATTACTTCTTGGTAGAAATCTGGTATCTTCAATGTGACCATCAATCGGGCCTTTGATATATTTTGTGTGTCTTAACCAGGAAAAGTTGTTAATTGATTTGTGACTGACACATTCTGAGAAAACAGTATTAAATATCATGATCAGCTATTTCAGAATAAAGAGAAGTAGATAAAACGGAATCACCTTGACTATGAGCTCTCAACACATGCTTGTAGATTAGGTGAAATTACTTATTCATGTTGAAGTAATAAATAGATTTTGTAAGTTGGATATTGTTTGTTTTCATCCTGGTGTTCCAGAATGATTTTCGTTCAGTTCGCTCTAAGTTGGTTATTAAATTCGGTATTGTAACAATAGCCAATTATTAATCTGGGTCCGTTTGACATGAGTAATATTACTCACAGTTTTCAATTCCCAAATTGCGCAAATTTTAGATCAATTTTTTTGGTTAGTAATAGATGTCCCATGTAAAACGTAATTATGATTAAAAACAAGCTTTTCGAAATTTTCGATTCACATGGTTTTGGTAGATAATGGGGTGCAATTTAAATTAACATTGTAACAAGAGAAGAGGTGTAGATGGGGTTTTATTCATCTACACAAAATATACTGTTCAGTTACAGAATATCGATTAAATATACCAACTCACCTTTAAATCTTTATCATCTTCTTTAAAAACCAATCGTTCTACAGGTTCTCGTAAGATGTCTCGGATCTGTTCGAATATGACTTCGCCTATGAGAGTTCCATCGCCCACGATTTCAGTGAGTACAGCAGAAGATGAGGGACTAGCGAAACCAGGTTCGGTTGCCACAAAAAAGATCACATTGGATTTGGTACCCAAAGACAAGGAAGTGCACATGTTCCCGGAGGATGAGGCGAGAATCAAAGAAATTGCTGAGATTGATGAAGAAGTTGAGGAGGATCAGATCGAAGAGAAAATCTGGTTGGCCAAATGGGCTTCAAAGAGTATGTGGCATCATTTTGTGTACTACATGATCCCGGTTGACATCGAAGCGTGGCCTGAGACGTCGCTTATCAGCAAATTTTTACAAATTTTGCAAACGCCATTGTTCATGGTATTCCGAATCACAATTCCTACAGTCCTGGAAGAACTTATGGATGAAACACCTGACAATGAGGTTGCTGTTATGAAAGGTGAGAGAATCGAAGTGTCACGCACCATGCAACCAGTCCAAGAGGAACCGGAATCAGAGACTGAGCCGACTCCGAAAGAGCAAAGCATTTTATCGGAGAGTCAAGAGTCCTCCGTGCTTGACTTTGAAGCCATGCACGGCTGGTGTAAACCGTTGAACGTTCTTCAATGCGTTATTGTTCCGACGCTGTGGCCATTGCTACTCACATGTACGTTCACGACCCGTGCTCTTCGCAAATTACCTGATCAACGTGTTCATCAGTAATCAGGATATGCTAAGATTATCAAACTTCAAATAACGTGTAAATAATTATTTGCACATCATGAAGTATTTTGTTAATCAGTAACATACATCGGCATTAGAGGGGCAACTGTCATCCCAAATATTATGAAATTTCACGTTCTCTGTTGGAGCGAGAAAGGAGCTGCCTACTCGATTAATGCACCCTTTCAAATTGGGTTAAACGTGATCATTTCAAAGGTCTTCGAACTGGTTCCGATATCAGTGTCCAAAACCTACTGCGTCTTTTATACAGCCACATTTTGAATAGAACCAGTTGCCAAATCACTTTCCGCTGAAGCCCATCGATTTGATTTCTCGTGTACGCCATATGAGGTTTGGTCAATAATGGTCACCACTGAATCGGTGAACCTACTAAGCACATGGACGGTTTAAGTTAGAAAACTGTTCCCTGCCAAAACAATTACAAGATGCTGTGCGAATCTATCTATTCATGTGGGAAATAAAATATGAAATAACACATTAATTGAACGTAAGCATAATGCCCGTTTGATCAACGGGACATTAAGCATCTTAATTCTCTTTTATTTTGTCCCTCTAGTGTGTTTTGTTCAGCACAAGTTCACGCAGATAATAAACAGGAAGGGAAAAGTGGCCCCCCAAGTGGCTACCATGTGATGAGAACTCGAACGTTAGACGGCGGTGGTGGTCGAGTTCAAGCACACGATCTTCGGGGCAATGGATTGCTGACCTTGGTCACCCTACCATGAAAGTGTCACGTCGAACCGTGGACGATGTAGCCCATGCTAGGGCCATTACGTTTCACGTTGCGGTGATTCATTCTGTCAAATTAAGAACTAGTAAGGATTGAATTTGTGAAGATTCCCGCGTTCGTTATTCGCTTCCTCAAGACTGGTGCACAGTGAAGCCCATTAATTCCACACGATGGATTATTTTGTCTGGTAGAGTAGAGAAAATTGATTGATGGTGGGGGTGGGAAAATATTTTGGATGCTTACTGGTTGATCATATGGTCGGATCTGAACCCAACTATCTCATGATCTATATGCAGTTCGCTGTCTTAACCTTCGGTATATACATGCATAAATTGACGTCTCATTCTGAAGTCAAATACGTGACGGACCACTCATATTTGTGCTCATCAAAAACGATCCACTATCATTGATCATTGAGGAATGGTGCTGGGTGTGATAGCGAGATGACTGTAGTGAAATAACTAGTGATAGAAATCGGTAGAGTGAATGTTTTTTGTTCCGTTGATGATTGCTATCGAGGAAGAAAACATATTTTTGGCATAATGCACAGTTTGAACAAATTGTTATTAAAGTCCACATTTTTAATAAAAATAAACTGACAAAGAAATATGAGTTGGAAACTGAGATCACCTGTCATGACAAGCGATGAAATTATACTCATTAGACTGAAAGGAACAAAATGATTTCAGTATATACCCGTCAGAGAAATATTTACTGTTGGTATATCTACTTTTCAGCTAACGGACGATGCATTGGCCTTATACCGATCGGCCATAGTAGTGTGCCACTTTTTGTGCCGTTTACACTAACCGGACTGGCCATTGCAACTGCGGTTCACTTCACATCCAGTTGGCAGTTACCGCCCCGACTCTACCACCGTCCATTTTTCGCCACACTCGGATTTGTGACCTCGATTATCTGGATCTATGCACTGGCTCACGAGTTGGTCAACTCACTGGAGTCACTGGGAATCGTCTGGGAGATCAGTGAAGCTATTCTGGGTTTGAGTATCATGGCTCTGGCCAGCTCAATCGGAGGTGAGTAGACGAAAATGCCTTGAAAACCGTGCATATTGGATCGATAAAACGCAGTTAGTCTATGCATTGTACTTTGAACGAGTATATTCCATTGCATTATCATTATTTAAGCTAGCTTTGTAATGCGAGCTCGTCTCAGTCGGGTGTTGGCTGATCGGCGCACGTCTACCAGCACTGTCATATCCCAGTAGTTTAACATCATGAAACACTGCACTACTCATGAGTAGTAATTCTACAATCAGAAAAATCAGTGAAATAAGGATCAACGATACGAAATCCTCTGGATTCACCGAATTAAGATTTTAGAGAACAGACACCAAAAAATCTCTTTGTGAAAACCCTGTGTCTCATTTTTGTTTTATTCACACTCGATGAATAATTTTCGACAGTGTAAAAGATCTATGGTTATCCATGCTTACGAAATGAGAGGTTTTGGTCCACCTTAATTTCATTCGCCTGTTATGGTCCAGCTTAAAGTTAGTTAAAATGCGATGGAAATGTTTGTGATAATCAACAAAGAGCAGTGAACAGCTGTTTCGTCCTGACATGGGCACAAAAAGTACGCACTGTTGACGAGTCTCAAACAGGATAAAACAGCTGTCCAGTGCTCTTTGTTGGTTATCCTAAACATTTCCGTCGCATACAAATGAATGAAATTGTGGGGAACCAACGATCCACCAAGGAGTAAAACCCACACACAAGTGTGTCTGTTGTGTCTTAACAATCGAATGGGCTGAGCCAAGCTTGTTACCGTAAATTTAGTTAAGTTTAAGTTATTTAAGAAGCAATAGTTGAAAGATGCCTTACAATAATTTTTTTTCAAATCAATATCGGTGAAAGTGTCTGATTGTCAATTATTCTGCGATTAGGCAACGAAGCCGGATCCAAAACCAAGTTTTGTTACTGCTCTTTTTCCGTAATGTAACATGTTAATAATCCAAAATAGGGAAGGAATTATAAGGAATTAAACGGAAGTTCATAATTCATCAGCATTAAATTATCCCTAAAAGCGCTCCTGCTTAATACTCAGAAGTCTGCTTCATCAGGAATCGGTCCAACTTTTTCCGTCTTCCGTCTACTTTGAAAGATATTATGGCCAACTGCTTGTTGGCACGTAACGGATATCCACGTATCGCATATGCTGCTTGCATGGGTTCTCCGCTATTCAATCTTTTAATTGGAGCCGGTCTGTCATACACAATCAAAATTGGACGATCCGGGGATGGATTCGCAAACGTACGTTATTATACCTTTTTCTATCTCTTTTCATTGGAAATGAAGAAATCAAAATATGTCCATGTGATTTTCCACGATAGCTTATTCTAAAATCATTTTCAAACATGACAATAGAAAATTCCCACTCTGTGAATGGAAAGTAAATACAAGAATAAAATGTATACCCGTTACACGAGCAGCAGACAAAAATAACTTGAATATGGGAATGAGTGAAATTTGTATGAAAGTTGTGGACGTTTTCAAACTTTTATTAATAATACCTTATTACATTGTCATATAAACGTTTGTACATCAAGATTACACCTCAAACTTTTTCGGAAGCAACATTCAAAACACCATTTCTGTTGCATTTCAAGTGCTTTTAATCACTGGTTGGACACATGAGCTGAATGTTTAGTTCGGTTCAGTTCGGTTTGAATCGCTTCCGTGAGTTGCTTTCGGTTGCTATCTTTTGGCTGCCCATTTGAATGAACAATAGGAGGAAAACCGGAAGGTTGAAAGTAGGATTGAATGTACTACAGTTATTTACTCTGCCTAAAAGCTGAAATGTAAAAAATCTATACCCCACATGTGACCATCACCAGTAGTGACGACGTCACTAACGAATCCAGGAAGTAGCATGTAACCAAGTGACTACCGAATAAACGGGAAAAGTTGTGGTTGAAAAGACCTATCTTGCGCTTTCGTGACACAGCTCATATTCCGGTACAATAGACCGTATTTTGCTGTTAAAGCATGAAATCAATAAAAACCAACCAGCTCAGTAGCGGTAAAACGAACGAAGGGGGAACGTGTACGTTGCCGCGCGAGGAGTTCCAGTCTGTGTAAAACGAACGTCATAAAGCGTTGGCTATGGTGTGTCAATATGAACCTGTGGATAGATTGTGGGGGAAAATAATGTCCGGCGATTGTCCAAAATGGTCCGAATTTCCCCGTGCAATCTTTTGCACTGCTACCCCATGTCAACCCCTCTACCTCATCATGTTCTCAGCCCAATTCGGGTACAAAAAGGGAACAACAAATGCACTCATAAAAGAGTGTTATACATTTATATGTTATACTCCCCTCGACTATTCAAACACAAGAGCCGTCTTGAGCACACACATACCGTATGTTTCACCTCGTTGCGAATCCGCGATTGTTATCATTTCTGAGTGTTCTCAGACACGTTGTTATCAAGTTCAAAAGACTATTTTCATTTCCACACACCAAGATGTTATTCTTGTGCATGCTACCATGAAAGATAAATTTTAGCTACTTGCATTTTTCCTTATCGTGTTGAGAAACTCTGAAGTATAGTTTTAGGGATGTGGTAGATCGATGTTTTGTTTCGAAGGAGAGGTAGGGTTCTTTTGCTATATATTATAATCATAATTGAGCGTTTCAAAGAAGATCAAGCGTTTAAGTTTCTAGTAAATAAATGGGACTTTGGTTACTATTCGATTTAAGCTTTCCGTGTAGAGATTTAGCCTTACATTAATGGTCCTCTGACCATGATGAATTTAAACAGAATTCCTTACTTTCGGTTTTTGTTTTATAGGATTGGCACTTGAATTTAGAAATTTATTTTCCTTTTTTATTGTACTGTACCATTCTGCTAAGACTTCGAGTTAAACTCATCGAATTGAGACAACAAATTGGCAGATTCTCTCCGTTCTTAATATTCCTTAAACGCCGTATGATATTCATATGACACTAAATACACGACAGTTTTACTTATTTTTTTCTCGTTCTTTGTCGATAGTATTGTTCCTTAAAACTCAACTAACGGGTCATATTTTGCAGTATTGAACTGGCTTATTGATCCCTTTTCAATTGCATTAATTAGAGTTTTAAATGCGCCGCCAATTCCCATGATTTTGTGTTGTGTTCTCATCGTGTATTCTGTGGCGCAATCGGGAAACCAGAAATCCAAAATATGGGCTCCAGCGCGTTTTGTCAGCTATTGCCAACAAAATTGCATCTCACCAAACTATTGGTATCCTTATTGTTACAACAACAAGACTACGATTAAGGCATTCATAGCATGGTTAAGTGCCCATCCAGAAGACCAGAATTAATTTACGATATCGTCTGGAAGCAGCGAACACTTCAATCTGTGAATACGCCAGTCGGTTATATACACATTCGTGTGTTGTTCAGTTGCAGTTGTGCCGTCGTTGTGCCAATCGTTTCTCATCAAAAATTGTTCAAATAGTTTATCATACATATCATACCAAGGTATTGATGAACACCATTGAAACGACTGACTTTCTTTTCCAATTTCAGTTATCCTTCACCCTGACACAGGCGTTGCTCTTCTCCTGTCTCATGGCTGTCCTCGTGTGCAACATTTTGATGGCACTGATCTTCAAATTCCAATTTCATCGACCGTATGGATTCATTTTGGTCGCCGTCTACCTCATTTTTGTGACTATAGCAATCTTGATCGAAGTGGACATCATTGTGTCACCACAAAACTGGAGATTGGCAACAGGAACAGAGTAAATGACCAGTGTGTCCTCAAGTTCCCTCTTTCTCTTTGCCTGTGTCCGATTGTTTCGATCTGGTCACGTGAATCGCAGAAATCCCTCAAGCAACTACACACGCACACACACACACATACACACACACACACAAAACGTTCAGACCAAGAGAGAAACAGGCATACCAGAGTGCAATGTGCGCGGTGTCCCTAATTCGAGACAGTCATCTGCGGAGACTGTTTCATTTAATCAGACCAATCAGGAGAGTAATGAATTCGATCAATAGCTATTTATACACTGTCATTGTCACCATTATCACTGTCGACGGCGTCGACAACAGCATAAACTTGGTTTCTTACTCCATCAACCTCCTTATGTGCATTACCAACCGAAGCTCCTGAGTTCAAACGCACACATTTTGCGGTACCGCGTGGGTCACCCACTGCGGTCTAACATTTGTCCCTGTAATTTGTTCTCCATTTTTTCGTATCATTTTCTTTTCATTCACCCTACGCTGGATTGTCCGTAGGCAGATTACCTGAGTTTCATTTTTTTGTCAGTTCATTTCGATCCGAATCTGTGTGACGGTTTATAGTCCGGGCACAGACAATGTAGCCAACTCATCCACTGACTATCATCAATACCACTTTCTTCCTATTTGTCCCATTCAAATGCTGCGGGCTCAGCAATCGAGAATCAGAACAGGTCAAAACATTGATTTCTACAGAGATTGGAGAACAGCACAAAGTCCATACGCAAGCTGTGATCAATGAAATTACACTTATTGGACACACTATTTGCTCATCTTTTCTCTTCGAACGTGTGAGCTTAGACCGAATAAATGCGGTTTATGTGGTGGCAGGTAACCACCGAATTCCCGTTTGTCCGTGTTTATGCATTGCCAAATCAAAACGTTCACTCAAAGCCCCCGGAATCTCCGCCACCCGGCGTCAGTCCCACCCCGCTGCATATTTACGAGACGTATTGAGTAAATGCGCATGTATAAACACACATACACACACACAAGACCCTCAAAACTTAAACACCAACAGATATTCACATAAACAAAACGCATCCATTAAAAATAGTAATACAGACTTCTGTTTTCAGCGAAACAAAAAACGGGCGATATGCAAAAATGATTATGGTCTTTCATCACTGCTGATTATTCGCGCATGATAAGTCACGTGTTTGGAGAAGGAAAAGCTTTTGCCGTCATGACCTCCAGTCTTTATTGTAAGGAGGAAATAGTATTTAGATACGATTTCTAGAACTTTAATGTATGACATTGTGGTGTGTGGTGTCTGCACATAAACTATGAACTCCTTTGCTAACCCTTTCGTCTAACATCTTTTGTACGGGTTCACGAAGTTCAAGGGGAATAATCCGACGTTCACCAAACACTGTAGAACTGATTGATTCTAGACATTGTGATACCACCCTTTATCTAAGAACTTTGGAGTACTAAGTGACGAAGGCGTGATTGATGAGACTCAGACAATGACAGATGAATATGGTTTATGCAATTCAAACTAATTATAGAATTATCGGAACTGATAACCGAAACGGACAGTGAGATGGTTGTGATTGATCGTCTTTAAGAAGAAGTTCACATGATCCTAAGACGAGCAACAAATGACCAGTAATTTCCTTAACTGACATGTTTGTTGGAAAAAGTACAACTGGGGGGTTTAACCGACGAAACACCTTGTTTGAAATGTGTCCATGATGAATGTGTGGCGAATGGAATCATTAGTGATGAAATCACGAGTGATGTGGTGAGTGGGATGTGAACCTGTACTGGTTCGAGTTAAAGAATGTAAATCACACAATGCATCTTTGGAAGAACGAACAGTCGAACGCTTTGTAGGACATGAACTTGCACTGTTAAAAAAAGATTAAATATGGCCAGGCTTACCGCAATTATGACACTTGGCATGATGAAATCTACCGGTTAACCGAGAATACCTTTGACCACAAAACTTGCACTTGTTCCAGCATTGAATCCTTTGGTGACTGTCGGTTAGAGAACTGGTACTGTTTGATATTTTCTAGCTTTTTTCGAAAATCCACTCTCGTGGTGATGGTGACTGTCTGGAATTACTGGCCCTGAACAACAAATTTGGTTCATCACAAACGATAGAACGGACGTCTTGGTACTGCTCAAAAACTACCTTAGCCGGTTGAAATGTACAATCGTGAATAAGCAAGATCTTTTCCTGAAGTTCAGGGCAATTAATGGCAGCAATTAATCAATCACTAAGCCGGATTTGTAGTTGATCTCTGAAATTAGAACGTGATGCTTGAGTCGGGAACCAAAGAATAAAGCCACTTTTGGGGTTGGCTTCCACCACGTGTGAGACAACGAAATTTGTCTCGCTCATCGACTTCCGAATAAGCTGGCTGTAGACATTTCAGATTTTCATGGATGCATTTGACAATGATATAGGAATATCAGGAAAAGCCAAATAGTTCAGCAGGGAATATGCATCTTTTCCGAGGACCGTTAGGAAATTAGCCGTTTTGTGTTCCCCATCGAATCCTTTCCGCGTGATACACCAAATCTCGAACCGTTCAAGATAATCTTCGACTTGATGCGCACTGGCATATATATATATTCAGGTTCTCCGAATTACAGGAATGCATTGGTTCAAAACGACCGCGACCCCAGTTTTTATGATTTGCACTTGGACTAGTAATTTGTGTACGTATCGAAATCCCCGCAGTAATAATCCAACCCAAAACTAGAACTCGGAATGAAATCAGAACTCAGAACTCAACAACTGAACAGAATTATAATTCAGCGGAAATTCGGAATGTACAAGGATATTGTGTTCAATAAAACAAAGGAGTTTATAGTTTATGTGCAATCAGCACAGATATTCAAATAGTACATCTAGCATGTATCAGACTATTCTGTTCAATCTAGTTCAAGGAACCTCGAAAATCCAGACTATGTGACTTCCATGGGTCAACATGCAAATTCCAAGTAGAAGTGATAAACGATCAAGTTTCTGACTTACGGATCAGTCAGATTATCTGTTTCCACATATGTGAGTTGTGGCTGGGATACAAACTGTGAAAGTTCGCAAAATATCTACAGTGTCTGGAGAAGAAAAACAAACGTTTCAAAAATGTTTGTTAGATTTTGTATTGCATTGTGTTGTAATGGCATGTTTAGGTATAAAGCCTATATTTCAGTTAAAAATATACAGGTTAGAGCGAGGAAGAAAATAAAAAAATAAAAATGAATAAAAGAGATTTAAATCCCAAAACTGTTAACAATGTATGTGAAAACCTGTTCTTTGTTAACTAGAATACGTGATAATGAAGATACTGTAGAGTTACCATGTATGTTCATTAGAGAGAGCGCACAACGGTGTTGAAATCTAGTTGAGGAATGGGAACAACAGAAAGTTAGATCTGCGTGTAGTGGATGTGTGGAGTCGATGAGAATCTTATGTGCAAACTTTTCACATGCATTCAAATGACGTTCGCACAGGTTAGTTACCAACTCCTCCATCGGGATTGAAGAGACGCGGCTAATGATGTATAGTCCACATCGAAGCAGTTTAAAATCTTTCTTGAGGAGATTGGAAAAAATAACAGGTGAACAATAAAGTAAAACGGGGAAAACACACCGTTACACAAACTTGGAAATAATCGGTTGTTGAATATGAAACTGACGAAGTTTACGGATATGAAAAGAAAATCGTCGAAACTTACTGGCGATTTGTTGAATGTGAGGGGTCCATTTATCAACGGTAGGAGTGACCGAAAGACAGAATAGTGGGACAGAGAAAAAAATAACTGAAGGCGAAATCTGTGAAACACAATGAAACAAAATGAAAATTTACATAGATAGTAAACAAAAGGTGACTTGGAATCCAGTTAGAGCACAGACTCAAAACCCGTACGCCCTTGTTTTCAGCTTACAAATAAAAACAACAAATCTGATGACTGAGTCGTACTAAGCCAATTCCAACACTATTTCAGGCTTTGATTGGGCATATCACAACAGGTATCAGAAGTTCAGTTCAAAGAATGTTTCAGAAATAATGAGTGTTCGCAGCGACGGAATTGGGACGAGCACTTTCATTTTAGATTTTCACAGAGATCAAAATACACATCTCCCAAGGAGTGAAAACCACACCCAAGATCATGAACAGTGCCCGGTGCTCGTAAAAAACCGAATGGGCTAATCCAAACATTCACCGTCTAAATTAAATAATTATTATTTATAAAAATGTCGGAATTTTGGAGAACGCTTACTTGGTAAACGTGCCAAGGGTGTCGGTGGTCGAGCGATAAAAGTGAACAAATTAACACCCTAAAAGGCTTGTGTTCGAGTCCCAAAACCACCACCTAACTTTATCCATTCTCGGTGAGAAGTAAGACACCCTTGTGATTAACCAACATCCTGTTCCTTGAAATTCGCATCAGTGTATATATTCAATAAAAGACAGTAAAAATAGATAGATATACGTCTTGATAAACAATTACTTCAACTATCTGTAACGTCCTGCGTATCTATTTGAACTTGAATCAATCTAACGCTTTGAATATAGGTTTTTGGAAAAACGATGTTCTGGCGTTTAAAGGCTAACCAAAATTTACCTCCCTTTCCCGAATAAATCAGCAAGGGTTTCCTAATGAAAAGCTCAGAAATTAATGGCATAGGTTTTAGTACTACCGGTGATCATTTATTTTCTCATTTCAAGGACGCAGCCATAATTTCTGCCGAGTAAAATGAGTAGAATTCGGAACGAATTCGCTGTGAACCAAAGTCGTGATGACTACAAAGAGTGATTCAGCCGTTTACCGTTTACAGGAATCGTGTGTGCCCACTGATATTGAATTCAGTAGCCAAATTAGGTATCTAAATTTCTAAGTCTCTGAGGCGTTATTCCTAGAAATTGCCTTGACACAAAGCACTTAAATCGAACATGAACACCTACTTATGTCAGTCTATGCGTCTAACAACCATCAAAAAAGTACCTCATAAAACAACCTGAATGCCCT